CACAAAACTAGTTAATTAATTTTTAATTATTGTATTAATTATTTTATTATTTATATTCTATTATGAAAAACTAAAAATAATAATTATTATTATTGTATAAATATAAAAGATACTTCATATCAATCTAGATGCAAAAATACTCCACCAGACCTACGTTTTTTAATTGGAAAATTGAAGTGTTATCGACAAATTGAAGCCAAAAGCCTGAAATAATGTAAGTTAATCATAAATTAGCTTATTACAATTATAATTTCAATAATATATAACGCGTCAATATGAGGAAGTGAATTGSTAATCGTAAATAATATCTAGTATTGTGCGTTTATTGTAAAAGTGTCGTAATTGCTTTTTTTAAATATCTGTAAGAAAAAAAAAGAAAGTTTTGGGTTTTGTTATAATAATAATGATAATAAAAGCTTTATTTAATGAAGGTTAATCTTTCAGTCATGGACTGGTTTACAAAGTGCCTTTCTAAAAATATAAAATACAATATAAAAGCCAAGCTAATAATATATATATTTATAAGATAGCTAGGAGATTTAATATTATCTCAAAAATAACCCAAAACCAACCCCAGTATATACGCATATTGCTAAGAAATAAAGATAAATATTGAATATAAAAGCGAATCATTATTGTCCCCAAAACCAACCCACTATAGTTGAACTATATGTATAAGAGATTCGGATGAAAGACAAAATGAACAATCCGTTGTGTGATTGCGAGATCCCCATTTCACAAGGTTTTTCCTGCTTGGTAGAGTGTAATTTATGTAGCGTACGGTGAAGTTGTAGATGTTCTTAGGAATTTTGGATTGTGCCGATGACCATAAGCCATTTAGTTTTGACAGGGAATAATTGATTACGTTAGTGAAGAAAACCTTGGGATAGCAAATCGTTGTCTAGTTTATGTTCTCGTTCTGTACGAAACGTTTTGATTACCTCTTTTGTCGTTTTGAAGATGTCACAAGAAGATGTTGAATGTCAAGGTTTTTCGAAGATTTAAACTTTACAGAGGGAGGGCAGATGTTTAAGCCAAATTTATTGCAAGGAAGGATCATTACTCAGAATAACAATATAACAATAATAATAACAATAACAACAATATGATAATAATAATATAATATTTAAAGGATTTTCTGTAAAAGTGAGTTTTTAGATTTATTTCAAAAGTGGACAATGAAGTAATATTTGGTCCGGGCCGAAGGGCCATGACCTTAGGATTACAAACCAGCGTTCGGAACGACACAAGTTAGCATCGGAAGCAACGAAGAAGCAACGAACAATCACGAATGTCCTCGAAGTTCTAGCGATCTTACGTCGATGCAATTTCGGAGTATTCGTGATTTATTTATAGCATTCGACTGCATTCGAGACGTTTTCGGCATTTTTAATTTTTATAAGGAATGTACGTGTTTCTGGGGGTTCGGGTTTTTCTTTGGAGTCTCCTTGTGAAAAGCACATGCAAAGTTGAGTACCACTTCAGAAAATCTTAAACTAACAGAATTTCTCTAAGATACTGAACTGAATCATTATCCGATTATCTTGTGCATTTTTACATGTATTTTTTWAAAAAATCGACCGATTTTTGTTGTTTTGACTCGAGCAAATCGTCAAAGCTTCGTGCTTGCTGACGATCACGTCATACGAATTCAGTCCACTTTGCGCTTGAAAATATTACAATATTTGAAATCTCCGGCCCACCAAATACAGCATCATGACTGACATAATACAAAACAAAGAAACAAAAGCCATTGAAAATCATAATTTTGTAAACAAACTGCTCGTCGCAGTAGGTCAAACTTGAAAGTAAGCTTAAGTGTTTACATTATAACTCCCAGAATAAGTCATTTAACCTTATCACAATAGGAAAAAATCCAGGTCCCATTTTTCTTGATCCCTGTAAGACTATTCATGCTCCTTATAGTTAAGGTAATGAGAGGTTATTTGGAGAAAATGCTGGAAAACAATGTACTTTAATTTCATTCAGTTATCTGCTTTATATTGTCAACAATAGACCTTATTCGTGGTGTGACAATGTTTTCCCAATTCAGCGTGACAAACCTCTTGGGAAATGAAGAGCTATTGTTTTGAAACTCGTCGGGATATCATCGTTATTCCTTTCGTATATTTTGGGATACTCATGAATTGTTTTGTATCCTTTGGGATACTCATGAATTTTTCGATGAGTAAAAACAAAAAAATGAATCCCCTGGAGGTTCGTCACGCTGAATTGGGAAAACATTGTCACACCACGAATAAGGTCTATTACTCCATAGCTTCTCCTGCGGATTTGATAAAAATTATGAATACAGGAAATGAACTTTATTCATTCCTTGGTAAATCTTCAAGGAAAACGTTTTTAATGTTGTCTAAATTGCCTACTTTGGTGAGAATGTATGATACAGATTTTGCCAACTGTGAAAGTTATACTTGTACCATGAATGCTATTTGCCAAATCGATAATTTTTAGTACTACTGTATGCCATTAACAAAATGCTACTGAAGCTCTCATAGCAGAAAACGTTTAATTCGGTATGTAAATTAGATTTAAAAAACACCATCAAAGACTACAGTTTTTTAACTTGAACAAATCTTGAACTTACTCTTTCTGATGCTAAAGAATTAATAGCAATATATTATACTCTAAGTGACTTTTAATTGTCTTGTAAAGGAAGGCTTATCAGCCCCGCCCACGAACACTTTATTTTTGTATCTATTATTAGTTACGTCATATCCTTAACGTTTCACTTAGTTACAACACGTCTCAATTCCACTTAGCGTTAGTATTAGTGTATGAAGTCGACGAGAACACATCTATTCGTGATCAAAGAGTTTAGAGTAGTTTTTTAGTTATCTTTGTTGGAGCAATAACCTATATCTTAACCTCGGCAAGCGGGACTGTTATGTAAGTACGCTTTGTTTCTCATAATAAGTTATAGTTTAAAATGCATGATTGGAAGCCCACTATACCTATGGGTGTGTATTATATGTTATCACTTTACGCCTAAGGGCCTATAAGTTTATGCTACATTTATAGTATTTTATTCTCAATGTAATTCATCTACGCTAGAATATTATGTTAGTTTTCTATGTTTATTGTGATTCTCTTTATCATTCTTTGTTAAGCATGTATTTCCGTAATGGTATGATTGGAATGTTATGCAGGTTTCTAGTTTAGTAATTAAGTCATGCCCTTTGTATCATTTAACTCTAGTTTACGACAAGTTCTTGGATTGTAATAAACTTCAATTCGTCGTCAAGTGCTGTCCGTAAAATTATTCCCGAAATCTCCTCAATTACTCGTAAGCCCGTTCACGTGCGATAAAGTCGTCGTATTATTCGTCCGTGTCGGCATTTACATGTCTGTTGATATGTATATACCAATATATATGTATATGCATATATATGGGAAACAATGTCGTTTCGCTGTCTATCAATGCAATTCTTTCTCGAATTTGAAGGATTCCAATGGATCTTTTAATAAAACAAGCATTAGTCTTAACTGCTTCTGTCTCTAGTATCTACACCAAAAAAATTGTGAAAAAAAGCTAAAGCCCTCGGGCGACGCCATGTTTATTTATACAAAAGCACAGGAAGCCCAGCTCTTGACAAAGGAGCCAAATCTCCTTGAGCAGAACTTCAAAGGTGAAGCAAACAACAAGCAAATCGCCGTATTGGATAAAGAATATAGTCAGCGAAGCAACTTGAACAGTAAATATCTAAGTTTAACTTTCTTGTTAAAAATCCTGATTCATTTGTTTGTTTTACTTTATTCAATAGTCGTAAAATACGATTYGATTTTACACAAATAATCATTTGTGTTATCGTACAAGCGATTGTGAACATCGGTTTGAATTACGTATGGAGTTGCACGTGCTTAGTAGAAGACGAGGTAAATACTCTTGGTGACTGTGGCATACTAGAAAAAGTTACCTATTTTATAAATGTACATGAACATAATGATGTTTTAGTGTCAATAAAAGTACTGTATTCTTTAGAAATTTATCTAAAGAAAAAAACAGCAAGCAGAAGTCACGCATGTTTGAATATTAACTATAACAAGATCACGTAACGCAATCACTGCGCGTCTGTACTACACATATTTCATTTTCTTCTTGTAGGCCTACTTTGGGGTGCACAGTCGCCCTATGCCGAGGCACCATTAGGTGTTATTCGCTAATTTTGTAGAAACATTGTCTAAATGTTGGGCGGCATAGAGCAACATTGAGCAACATTTGGCAGTATTGATATTGGGAAATTTTAGATCTTACTACGGTGTAGTATAGTAAAGTGGAAGAGCACAGTTCAGTATGGTAAAGTATAGTTGTGCGGTACAGTACACTATAGCAGTAYAGTTCACAATAGTAGTACAGTAGAGTACAGTATGTTAGTACGGTACATACAGTGTAGTACTTACAATATAGTTGTAGAGATTAATTTTAAATAAATAATAGGATTACATGTACATTGGTGGGCAGATAGGGTGGGTTGTAACTTATCATTTTTATTTCTTTATCTTTTCTCTGTTAGTACCAGTTTTTTCATTAGTGGGTTGGATGGGTCAAGGTATRTGCACTTATTTCTCAATTGACATTGTTTTCTTTGTTATTCACAAGGCTTTATTTTTATTATAGCCCTCATTATAAATGCGAGGTCAATATATAGTTATTAACCCGGTTAATAACTATATATAGACCGTTCGCATTTATAATCAGCAACATTTGATAGAAAACCTTCTTAATTGATAAATAAAATACTTAATTACCTCGAACGTCGGCAATAGGCCATAACATCCCTCGGGCCTGCCTGCGGCCCTTGGGATGTATATGGCTTATTGCCTCCATTCTCGGTAATTAACTCTAACATAGATATACATATAGATATATTTCATTTAGGGGTAATATATAGGTTAGATATAAATTAGTGGATGGATTATTTTAGTTTATGCAGCATTTGCATGATTAAATTTTCAGTATATCAAATATACTACAAAAAGTACTCCTCTACTGTACAAAACGTGAATGCAAATCTTCCCAAAATCACTGACCTAAATCTTAATACAACATAGACATGACCGTGAAGCCATTTTGGCTCTTGTTCTAATAGTAGCAGGTAAATAATTCCATTCTACAGAGGCAGCATGCGTAAACGTTCTAGATTTWAAAAAATCACTTCCTCCAACCAATAATTAAGCTTATTTTGTATAATGTAGACTCACCTGTATAGCCAAGCGAAGCCAAAAATAGTGAGCACTGTCTACCATTTTGATAAGCATTGGCAAGCAGAGCGGCTGTCTCGAAGTATGAAAGTGTTGTCACAATCGTTATTACCGCGAATCCATTAGCCAATCCAAGTACAGTTACTCCAGCAATTCGCACTCTCACATCATCAATTAACACTAACAGCAGTATCGATGCTAACATTAATATAGTGAGAAGAGCAAAGGATAAATGGAATGTTATCCTATTGATGATCACTGGGCTCACTACCTTGGCGAGGATATCAGGAATCGAGAAGGCTATGAGTAAGACAGTCGTTGACCAAAGAGTGCCAGCGAGAATGTCGTCTACTGCTATCCATATCACCACCATCGGAATAATGTTGGCTGACAAGCCCATCAAAAAGAAATAAAATGTGCTAAGCTGTTGCCTTCTTAGAAAGGACATTGTTTGCGTGTTAATGTTCTTATATTTTAGGGTGTGTCTTGTAGTCCAGCTGTGCTTGGATACGTTTATACAACAAATCTATTTCATTTATGCATCAATACCCGATATTTCGTGATGCAAAGGGTACTGATGCATAAATAAAATAGATTTGTTCTAGAAACATATCCGACCATAGCTGGTCCATGAAGAAAAATGGTAAGGGGCTGTAGATACGTACTTTATTGAGTTAATATATTAGATTACAGAGAACATCATATACTTGAGAGAGACTAACACAGGTGAATCAAATAATAAAAATGCCATGTACATCACTACAGATTATGCGAGACGGTCAATATTAATGCTTCCGTTTAATCCTGAGTTACAATCATATTACATGCTGCGTTTCGACTAGATCAATAAGCCACCCCTCTCAATTAAGCCTCCCTCTCCAATAAGCCCTCCCTCAAACGTGCCTGAAATAAATAAGCCCCCCGGTGGGCTAAATAGAGGATTTACGGTATATATATCGACATAGTACAAGACTGTATAAAGAAATTATTCATAAATCTTTTAGTTTTACCAGAAGGTACAATATAAATAAGAGGACGTCTAGAAATTTTACTTGTATATATTGCATTTATTGGAGGCATTCATTTATGCAGGCGATGACCTTTATCCGTTTCTAATGTTATTGAATAATGCCTCAACATAATACCTGATGATGATCAGCTAGAGATGGTGTTGAAGAGTGAAATGTGTGAGAGCATAATTGATAGGAGGAAGTCGAAATATTTGCTGACAAATTTGCAGGGGGACTGACAACATCGTTGTACCTAGGATTTCTTGCAACTCATGATCTCGTTACTTAGAACAATCTATTAGTTAAAGAGGAGCTGTTCTGTGGAATACAATTACATCAAAAAACTCTGATATTTCTCTTGATACGCTCTTGCTACGCTCTTGCTACGCTCTTGCTACGCTCTTGCTACGCTTTTAAGCATTTTTAGATATTTTTAGATTTGAATATATTCTTAGGTTTCAAATTTTTCTTCCATTTTAAGTTTCTTTTTTTAGATAATTGATTTAGGGTTATTTGATTTGAGATGCAAGTAGGTAGGTAGGTAGGTAGGTAGGTAGGTAGGTAGGTAGGTAGGTAGGTAGGTAGGTAGGTAGGTAGGTAGGTAGGTAGGTAGGTAGGTAGGTA